CGGCCTGTCCGGCTTTCGGAATCCACTACTTTTTCGACACTTCGCACTTCCCGGTGCCTGGTTTTCACAACACCTTTTCGGCACATCTGGCCACATTTAACATCATATGACAAAATTTACACGCCAAATTTACACGCAAAAGTGTAATTTTTTTACACCCCATTTTGGCGTATAAATTATTTATACCACGTTTTGCGTGTAAATTTTCCGAGAGTGTAAAATTACACGCAAAGGATCTATCAGGTATGTGGGATCAGCTGAAGGATCAACAAGTCGTCCGCACCGCCCTAGTACGACACAAAAGCAGCAAAGAGAAGCCTGGTGCGTACATCCCCAAGATGATGTTCACAAGGGAGCGCTGCGACATATGTCCACAACGTTCCTTGGACACCATTCGGACGCAGTTCGACGAGGAGATCGATATTGGCCTAGCCAACAGATATGCATACAGTTGTCGGGGTCGCAGCATGAACATGGACAACATGAAGGCCTTTTACCGGTCCATGCTCCCCGCTTCCAAGAAAGGTCGTCGCACTGCGGAACAGGAAGAGGTCCTGCAGACCTACCAACATCTCCTCGGAAAGCTGGAGGGCCACGAAAAAGCTCTCACCAATCTCTTGGCCGCCAAGCATGGAAGACGACTGCGCGCAAAGAAATCTGTGGAGGACGACGATCCTGAGTCATCCAAACAGGGGTCGCCGGATGGTCGGGATTATATTTCCTTAAAGCACAGTCGGACCACATCCTATGGCTACTCGGAGAAGCAGTCGTACACCGTGCGAGCCAGGCGTTAGGAGTCCAATCGCTGTCACGCCGACTACAGTTTCACGTCGTGGACGGCCACACCATTGATCTGGACATCCAGAACTGCTGCCTCACCTTATTGCAGCAGATTCTCGCTCAAACGGCTCCGCAGCCGCCAATGCCCGACGACCTTGCCCAGCTTATGGACCGCCTTGTGAAGGATCGGGCAGAGGTCCTCAAGCAACTGGGTCTTGACATCGTGGAGGGCAAGGAAATGATTAACACCGTCATGAACGGCGGCGCTCCACCGACATCGTTGAAGGATAATGAGCTCGTCCAAGGCCTACAAAAGATTTCCCTATACATCAGATGGGTCGCGTGCAATCTGCTTCACGCTGATTACATGTCCCTCGCCGAGCACAAGCAGAAACCTTTCCTATCGTCTACCATTTTATCCCTCCTGTGGACGTCAGTGGAGGACAGGATCTTACAAAGTTGGACCGATCACATCTTGAGTCACACCAACAAGCCCAAGCATTTGTCTCTCCACTTCGATGGCGTCCGAATATCCGCGGAGCATGTTGGAGATTTGCAGGAGGAGTACATCAAGGAGTGCGAGAATGCGATCCAGAAGAGGACCGGTTTCACGGTCAAGATTGTACCAAAGAAACATTTCATTGACTTGGTAAAGACCAGGAGTACGCATGCAAACGCACTCACAAACGTCCCCGACATTCTGTTGCAGCCGGGCAATTGCATACCTTGTGCTTTGTGGCATGTGGTCCCACTTTCTCGACCGGCAATCAGTGCAGCTGTGTCGAACACTTCCCTGCCCCAGAATGTGGAGGCCAAGAGTGTACGATACAGAGATTACCGGTCCGTCCCATCCATGTGTTCCGTAGATCTCAGCAGCTGTCTGGGCATGCCGGGGTGACATGTGAAGTCCTTCCTGATGCACTACGAAGGCCACGGTCGGCCACATGCCGTAGCTGTCCGGGTGGATGCCTCTGGCAACGGCGTTACCGTTATCGATGGAGCGACAGTCTACAAATTGAACATGGCGACTTCTCGCGAAATCCACTGCGCTGCCGTGGATCATTCCACCGTCGTATCATACTGGAAAAAGGACCCGAAAGACAAGAAGAATGACAAATCGGCAATTCTGTTGGACATGGTGGCGGGGGCGAGAGATGTACCTGACGATTTGGAGGAAGATTCTTCAGAGGGCGCGGAAGAGCTCCATGCCGCGGGGGCCCCCAACAAGCTGTCCTTCGACGAAGACAATGTTCCTGTCTTCAACGACAACATCCTGCAATCCTTGAAGAATGAAACCAGCGACGTCTTCAACGATCTACAAAAGAAATCTACGAGATCTGAAGGAAGACGACACTGTCCGCTATGTCCTTTCAGGTCGTTCACGCAGCTCCAGTTGTTGCGGACCCACATTTCAAAGCACCACACCAACCAGAACCAGTATGTATGTTCTGGAACAAAGCAAATTAAGGTCATACTGGCTCTCTACGACCACGCGGCGTCCTCACAAAGTGTGGCTGGTTATCCGACAGACAGTTCAGCCGCCTTTGCAAGGTAACCACAACCGCATCGACAAGCAGATCAGACTCATCCTTGATGCGGCCGGGCCGAAGTATGTGAACGTATCCGCTATTGGCAGTCCTCTGCAAGTGCGGCGAGTTCGTAATCTCTACTATACACACTCCTTCGCAGACCTTCTTCTACGGGAAATGGTACTGAACCATGCTCAGGCATCCAGACCGCAAGTACCTATGTGGGTGTCATTCGTACATACGAATCCCCATAACATAACATGTCGCCATGTTGAACTTATTTCCGGACCGTCTCCACTCGATGCCACATTGCAGCCCATGAATCTGGTAATGTACTATCCAGTCTCCTTCCTCGACGTTCCCCACATTGGATGCCTATGCTGGAGGACATTGTGACGGCACCAATCTTCCTCAAAAAGATGGAGGACATGAACAGAGTCCTGCTGGAGCAAGACGAGTGTCACTACATCATGGACGCCACCTTGAAATTATGCATGAAATTGATGGGTCAGGCATCCTATCGGTCGCCCAAGTCAGTCCGCAATGAGGCGCCATTTGGTGATGACGTAGCGTGGAGAAGACTCCTCACCATCAGGGGTCGAACTGGTGCGGTTCTGCTGTTGCATCCTCTTCAGAATGAGTCTGCGGATCAAGTCGTCGATGCCTTGGCTCAAAATTTCTCGGCAGAGCAACTTCGGGCAGTGGTTCACGTCGGGACAGACCAACCGTCGGAAAAGCTGTTCAATGAGTTGAAGGCAATATGTCCATCAATGAGATCACTTGTTCTGGATCCGATCCATTTGGCCGTTGTCTATGAGTGCGGCTTTTGGAACAAACACAGCCCCGGATCCAAACAACTTCGTCGGATCCTGCAGAAGTGCATCTCGATTGATGCGGACTTGGGGCAGAACCAGTGGGGAGCATTTTACGACGGCACGAATGCCCGTCCGCTTCCATTCACTACCCGCTTGGAGTTCATTCGGTGCCTGGCCGCCCTGTGTCGAAGATACCCGACAAAGGTTACCAGGAAGATTGCCGGTGCTAACAAGCAGATTAGCAAAATTCTCTGGTCTGCTTGTGCACCCGATCGTCTTGAGTGGCTAATGAATAACTTGCGGGTCAGACATGCTTTGCCATCGTCATATCAGTGGTTCCTCCCAAGTGGAACCTCCAGTAACGAGGCACTGCGTGCGGAAATAAACTCGTGGTCGCGAAGCACTAATGTCCTCCACCGTTCCACCCTTGCACTGAAGTTGAAATACTTCCGTTCCACCCTTGCACTGAAGTTGAAATACTTCAGTTACATCAAATTGCTATTGCACTATCTGTCAGTGCAATATCCTTTATCTCATACGGTCAGCGCAAGCATGATGCTAAGCAGATCGCTGCACCGCTCTTTAAATGGAGCGAAGACGACTGGAACGTATGGTGTGCTGAACAGTCGTCGCACACAGTTCCGAAGAAGTCTATGTTATCCTTGTCATCGGCTAGACAGCTTGAATCTCGTCTAGTTCGGGAGCACGTCTTAAAAAAGCCCGCCTCAAAGAGGCAAGGCAATACCAGCATAAAGAGACGTGTGACGCCCTTGTCCGTCAAACGGATTCACACACTGCGAAGTGCAGGTGTGAAGGCACAACGACAGGGCTAACCATACCAGGAAGATGCGGCATACACCAAAACAATGTCCCGTGCAGCGGCGTCGATCAATCGTATCGAGTCAGAGCGATAATGTCTGTCTGCGTTCTTCCTGTGTCCGCAGGACATCTGACATCTGGCCGAATCTGGCCTCCAATGACGTCGCATCCTCGGCTGTATTGGACCTAATGGACGAATAAAAATACTGCATTTATGATGTGATATTCCTGATTAGCGAGTTAGATGGACATACCAGAGTCTTGTCGGGACTCGACAATTGCGTGTACCGGATTACTATGCCGAGTGATACATG